GAATGAAAACAGCCTTTGGACACTTTCCATCCTATTTGTAGGTGGTTATATGGGGAAGCATTTTCCAAAGGTACCATTTGGCATGTATGTGAAATTATCCAACAGGTTCTTGGGAGCACAGGAGCAGCATTATAGCTGTGGTGAAGAATATTCAGACAATATTTGGCTAAATTGCTCTTTTGTGGTGATGGGGGAACGTTCTTAAATTCTGAATTTTTTGGCTTGGCTCTAGATGAGTTGGCTAGAACATGAGAGGGGGCGTAGACAAACAAGCCTTGGGATGGGTGGGTGGCCTAGTAAAGGGAGAAGGAGTGGGTATGAGAAAAAAATATTTCAGTACAATTTTTTCTTTAGTGCCTGAACAAATATAATAAAAGTGTAACATGAGGGCTTGGCCCAACAATAGTGGAATCTTGGTTAATATAATCAAGGGGGAAAATGTGTTGGCAACTTTTATTGGGAGTTCCACATTATAAAATCTGTACCAAGGATTTGTTTATTTTTAAATCATAATGTATTTTATTTGACAATGGCTTAACCTTGTTAACTTTTCTTTAGCAAGAGCCTTGTACTATAAGAATTATTTAATGGGCAGAAAATTCATCTGCTAACCCATCATGTAGATATAGGGATGTATAAAGTGGCAACTGTTCGTCTTCTGTTACCTGTTAATGCAGTGGCTTTGGGGGCTCTCAAATTTCTGCAGTGCCCTGTGCAACGTTAAAATTTGGCACCCACCCCCTCCCTCTCGTGCTCAGTTCTACAGAATTGTTGTGGCGCCCACTGCAGCGCAGTGCCTAATGCAGCCAAAACCGGTCATGCGACCCTAAAACCAGCCATTGTGTTAAAGACTCAATGAGATCCTGATAGAAAAATTAAGGTAACCCATTCCCTGATTTGCCCATTCTTTGTGGACTGTTTCACTTAGGCCCTGCTGAACACTTATGTCAGGGAACGTGATCCTGCTACCTTTGAGCAGAAGTAAGCCTGGTCTGTCAGCCTTCTTATACAATTTGATAGCAGTGGTGGCAAAATCTGTAATGGCACCTCTTCTGCCTCTTGCATGTTACTATTGCAAGCAGGTCAGAACACTCAGTGAATCCTTCCTGTTTTAGGAGCACCATGGCCTGCATGCAGTGGAGAGATTAGTAGGCATCTTGGGGGTACACTCCTTTCCATCATAGCACTGGGTGGAGAGGAATCTCACTCAGTGCTGAGCTGGGGTGTGTGTGTGAAATAGATGTCTGTGCTCCCTCTGATTGGCAGAAAAAAGTGTGTGGGTGCATTCATCTCTCTCTCTCTCTCTCTCTCTGTGTGTGTGTGTGTGTGTGTGTGTGTGTGTGTGACTGACTGCAGGGTCCATCTTTGTTTTGGCCAATCCCTCTTCTGATAGATATCAGCCATTAAATGCAAATTATGCCAGGCAGCATAGATACAAGACGTATTGTGTATTAGTGAAAATAGTTACCAAATTAACTAAACTGTTATCCAATTATTAGAGAATTAATAAAATTACACTTCTGAATTACTACTTTAAGGGGTTAGTAGCTACAATTACTTGGTTGTTCACTGTAAATTCCCCTTTATATTCTGTGAACTGGAAAAGTTGTGCATTTTCCATCATTCTTGTATAAAATAAATCCTTGTGTGCAGATCAGAATTATTTGACTACCCCAATATAGATTGAAAACATACACACTTTCAGTTCCCATGAGGTCCTAACAGGGATGGTTATTGAATTTGGGTCTCTGGGGTCCAAAGTCTGTATTCTCAGGCACACTACACTAGTCCTTTGCAGTGTGGTAGGCTTTTGTTCTGCATTTAAACTCCCAGGATATTAATCTAAGCTATCGTATGGACCTTAACTGCCTTTCTGTCTGGAAAATTATCCTGTTACACTGCAGTGTTGCATAGGTTGCTTGCCAGTATGAGTCAGGCTGCCTGTTGAAGAGACAAAAAAAAAAAAAAGAAAGACAAAAAAATGTTACGTAATTATGTCCTATAGATGAAGTCTTAGAAATACTGGAGTATGTTGTAAAGTTAGTTTATCTTCAGTCCACTTTAAATGAAATGGACTTTACATTAATGGAACATTGCGAGCAAATATAATAGGTTATATTGAGTGAAGTTTTCCTGTAAGTTCAAGAACTTCAGGAGTTTCTCTCCCTCTCCTCTCCCCATGCCCTCCAAATCTGCTGCTGAGGGTTGGGAAAACTCCTCGTACTGATTGGAGTAGGCATACAAAGAGTGGGAGAACTCCTTGCACTGATGGGATGATTTCGTTTGATACAACCCATTGATTCTCAGAGTGTTAGCTAGAGCTGCTGTTGTGAAAGACTGCTCATAATCTGCTTATGAACGGCTCACTGAGCAATTTGGGATCTATGCACATTTTGAGAAGAAGGAGGAAGCGGAGAAGAAAGAGTCATTAAAGACATCTCAAGGATTATTTTTATTAGCATTATGAAATCTAATTCAGATATAGCATTTATCAGTCATATTTATAGCTGGCCCTTCATCCACAATAAATCCTAGAGTGCAGATACACATATGCATTTTCTTCAACGTATAAAGCAAAAGTCATCATTTTCTAACCGTTTCAAACCTTTCCTATTAAATTCAGTGTTGATTAATAATTTAGCAACACCCACCCTGCCTTTATGGATTAATATCTCCCAGTTTCCTCCTAGTGAAGGAGATCTGGTATTTGATATAGTTCTGGTGCAAGGTAGCAGACCTTGAATAGGGTTTCCATCTCCTTTCACAGGATCAGGTGGCATTCTGTGTTGCATTTCTCCCTCTTCTTCCTTGTCAAGGTGACTTTATTCCTGCAGCATGCGCCGTCTCTCGCTCTCTTTCTCTCCTGCTTACCCAAGCAAGCAATATTAGATCGCCTAGAAGTAGCGAGCACAGTTTGAATTAAGTTTCTCCTTGACTGTGAGAGACCAGAAGGCTATCAACTCCAGCCCCTTGCCTCAAGAATTTCTGCTCACTAACTTTCTGGACAGAATGCTTTGTAGTATCTCAGGCTCCAATGTGCCACAAAGCAGAAAGCAGCTGAACTGCAAAGAACGTGCCTGCAGGGCAAGTTGTCCAGACAATCCAATTTAAGAGTACTTTCCCACATAAAGACTTAAAGTGGTGCTTGCTTCAGATGGATTGTGATATAAATGTGAAATGTGTATTGACCAGGCTACCCACGTGAAGCCTAAATTCCTCTCTTCTGCTTTCTTTTCTGCATTCATGTTAGCAAATGTTCTGCATGCATATTAGCAGAGGGTGGGGGGAGCTTGAAGCCTGTAGTTAGTCAGGCATGGTAGGGCTCTTAAGTATACAACATCACAGAGAAAGTCAAACTCTATGAGATGAAGTTCCTTCCCTGCTTTCAGGTATGACAAACAAACTCTGAGCAAATTCTACCCATTAAATCTTATTTTTTGAAACCATTTTTGCGCTGCAACTGCTGCCACCTTAGCTATGTTGTCTCCAACTTCATCTCAAATTATTTATCATGTTTGAATCCCTGACTTTCTGACTTTCTCTAGAGAGCTCAGGTTGACTCCCTTGGGGTTAGCTCATTTTATCCCTGTAACTAAAGTGTGAGGCTGCCCATGGCCATTTAAGTGAACTTTGTGTGTCAGAGACTTGAACCACAGCTCCAAGTCCAGCATTCTGCCTGCAGCAGTACATTGGCTCAGTATTTATATTGGTTTCTGATGCTGCTGAAGAGAGGAGAAAAAGCCAGGAGCATAAATAGAGGGGAAATGACTATTTTCATTTCTTGGGCCTTGAACATGACCCCCACAATCCATATTGTAACTGTCTGTCTAATCCCCAGGCTTCAACTTTTTCCTTTGCCAAGCCAAAGTGGTTGCTGTGTGTGTACACTACAGAAATAAATTGTGGTGGCATATGAGTCTTCTGAATGTAGCTTCCAACTCATATGTCTAGTTCCTTTCCCAAAAGTTGTAGCTTTGGGACAACAAAAATTGTATTATCAATAAAAAGCAAGCTGGATTGAGAAGGATTCAGAATTTGATAGATCCGTTTTATATGCTAGATGGTTTAATATCTAAATACAGTGGTACCTCTGTTTACGAACTTAATCCATTCCGGAAGTCCGTTTTTAAACTGAAACCGTTCTTAAACCGAGGCGTGCTTTCCCTAATGAGGTCTCCTGCTGCTGGTGCCCTTCTACCATTCAGATTCTGTTCTTAGTCTGAGGTAAAGTTTGCAAACACTACTTCCAGTGTTGCAGAGTTCATAAACTGAATAGTTCGTAAACAGGGCTGTTCTTAAACTGAGGTACCACTGTATATCAATGCTCCCCAATGTTTTCTACCCACACCCATAGTACTTCTATTACACCCACCCTAAAATGGTAAAATCTGTCCTTGCAGGACATGGCAGTTGCCATTCTGAAATTTGGCTGTGCCTGCAAGTTGCCACTGAGTCTGGCAGAAAAAATGGAGCCTTAAAAAAATAAAAATCAAATTTAACCTTCCATGAAAATCCGTGGATGTATCTGCCTACAATTTGGCAGACTTAATCCACTGTGGAGGAGCTGCTCTGCCTGCAAATTTCACCCACTTTTGCAAAAAGGGGGTGCTGGTTAGATTGATCAGTTTTTAGATTCCCCATTATAGTGAATGGGAAGAAAACAGGGCTTTGTTTTTCAACAGATATAATTTAACACTAAATAGTGGGTCAAATTGGAAAGACACAGAGTGGCTCTGGAACAGATCAGGCTGTTTCCCAAAGTTACAGATGCAAGTCTAATATTGTGGCCAGTGTACACCCTGTCACATACATAGATTAGTCCTGAGCTGTTGAATTGTAATCTACAGTATTCCCATTGTTGAAGGCAAGGGTCAGTAAATGAGTTAAGGCTGCTGTGGGCTGGAAAATGGAATTTGACATATGGATTCAAAATAACCAAGTCAGTCTCAAGTAGCCAGTCTTCTATTTTCAAGAAGTACCCCATATTTTTTTCTTTATAGCTCAACTGAGGGATTTGGCGTGGCAGAGAAGATTGCACTGCTCACCTTTATTTCTGCTGTTATTCTTATGGCTATCCTGGGAAATCTTCTGGTGATGGTGGCTGTATGCAGAGACAGGCAACTCAGGTGAGTCCATCCATATGTTACTATCAATCTCTTTGGCAGAATGAGCTTTTCAAGGGTGCAATATTTGATCTCCAGGGCAAAGAGACAAATGTGAAAATAGCTGTGAACATAAACAATGTGGTAAAAGAACATTCTCACTGGTTTTCCCCCAGACAAGCTTATTAGTGTAATGTCAAACTTTGATTGCCTGTAGTGTCAAAGTTAGAATTTACGGTATATTGCAGATGATTAATCATTTTATTATCTAGTGCCTGCATTTCTAGAATTTGCATCATCAAAACACATAAATCACCAAATAATTCCAAAGTGACTAACACTTCACTTTTAGGGCAGAAGCTACATGTAACAAGAGACAAGGGAACACTGCCAAAAATAGCAATTTCTTGCCAGGTTTTCTTTCTCCTTGATATGCACTAAAAAACTACATCATGTCCTGGTTGTAATGACATTGTGGATTTCCCAGCTCCAATGAGCAGAGCAGATGATGGAGAACAGACATGGGTAACAGACTGTGCAATTATGCCAGGAATGAATATTAGACATGGAATGGATTCAGGACTTCTGCCCTGAAAGGACAGTGCTTTGGGTTTATTTGACAAAGAAAAGTATGATTAATTGGGAAAAAATTAAATGCTACATTTAAGCAGTGTATCCATTCCCATTTCACAATCAATTTCCACATCTCTAAATGTATAGTTTGCCAGATATGTCACGTTTTTTGTTTTAGGCTTATTTGGCCATATATCAGGAAGTTGTAGATATTAATGGCAATCTGACTGTGTAAATTGTTGAGGAGGCACAACCTGTTATTTAAAGGCCTTTTATGGCGTTAATGAATCAGTACGATATGAGCATAATTGGTCATACAAGCTTATGTGACCTTTGTTTTCTGGCTCTGCATGTGAGCATCATTTTGCCTACAGTGTTGATTTATATCTTGATGTTAACATGTATTATGGTCAGTATACTGTAAGTTTTTTAAATATATACATATATTACTGCAGAAGCTATAATGAAGTAAGGGCTTCTTCAAAGTAGCTGCTTTTATCTTATGCTGGCCTATGACTGTAATAAAGATTTGGATTGGATTGGAAGGAGCTGCAGAATTTTTAAGTCCACATCCTTAAACCTAAATGAAAGATGTGTTGTGCATGCATGGGGGGAACTACATTCCCAGCAAGAGCTTTGTTTGTTGTTTTTCTATGCAGTAGTTCCTACTGCGTCAAAAAGACAAGGCACTTTTCTAACTGAGCAGCTGCTTGTCTCTTCAGTGGAAAGAGCTCAAAAGAAAACATCAAATCAACTTCTGGCAGCATCCCTGCTAAGGTCCTCACCACTGAAGCATCACATGTCCAATATGTATGCATGTTAATGGCTTTGAAAGAGAGTTGCTCACCATGAGTGATAGCGAACCAACAAATGCAGGTGGGAATTTTAATTGCTAATGAGAGGCTACTACTTTGTGAATTTGAGATCTATATGTGGATAAAGAGGCTGGTGCACACATTCGACTATCTCCTGGATTATCTCCTGTCTAAACAGAAGGGTGTGGCCCATGAGGAATTTACATACTCAACATGGGCCCTTGATTTACAGAGTGATAAAATAACAAGGGGTGGATGTTTTAAAATGCAGAAGGCAACACTGTCCTACAAATTGTCATCTTGATGATGTCTTTCTGAATCAATACATTTGTGTTCCTTGCAGGAAAATCAAGACCAATTATTTCATAGTCTCGCTTGCCTTTGCTGACTTGCTGGTATCAGTTCTGGTGATGCCATTTGGAGCCATTGAGCTGGTTCAAGATAACTGGATTTATGGAAGAACGTTCTGTTTAGTCCGCACTTCTCTTGATGTCCTCCTCACAACAGCATCAATTTTCCACCTCTGCTGTATCTCATTAGACAGGTAGGATAAAAAAGGTACATAAAATAAAATGCTGCTGTTTTCAAGTTTATCTGGTTAAATTTCATGTGTTCCTTCAGGAAAACCATTGAATTAAAGGCATGTAAATATATCCTGTATACAAGGTTTCATGTGTGCCAGGGCTTATCTCAAATATCTATTTTCAAGTATCTAGAACAGAGCTGGGGAATCTTTCTTTGGCTAATTATTGGACATCTCCAGTGGAAAGATGTCAAAGGTTGGATTTTAGATCATTGTATGAGCAGACCACACCTATTCAATGCCTTTAACTTCAAAAATGCACTTATTTCCCAAAAATTGTGTGCACAAAGTTTCAAAAAGTATAGATACTCTTTGCATTATTTGCAAGGAACACATGTTTATGTCAGTCAATCCATGTTTATTATTACTATCACAGATCAGCCACTAAGTTTCAGGTTTATGTTTCTGCTGAAACATACCCCACCCCACTTTGATTTTCTTGCAGAGGAAGGCATCATTTCCTCTTTGGCTGCTCTCTGCTGAACAGCTGGTGGATGGGAGGAAACCCAGAAAAGCAGATGGAATCTGGCTTCGGGCCATATCTGGCCTGCAGACTGGGGATTCCCCTCTTGAATATATTATGTAAGAATGGATGTGTATATTTCCTTCACCAAAGAGTGTCTGTGTTAGCACTAAATTGTGGTTTATCAATACATACTAAGAGGACTACCTAGACAGTTATCTTTCCACAAGGAACAACATTGATGCCAAAATCCAGTGTTGCCTGAGCTCTGCGAGTGCAGCTTTCTCCCGATTGAAGTACAGAGTGTTTGAGTACCGGGACATTCAAAATGCTTGTTTACAAAGCTATTGTACTACCAACCTTATTATATGCTTGTGAAACATGGTCCACTTATAAAGGCCATCTCCAACTCCTCGAAAGATTCCATCAACAGTGTCTCCAAAAAATTTTACACATCACTTGGGAAGACAGGCGAACTAATATCAGTGTACTGGCAGAAGCAAAGATCACCAGTGTCAAAGCAATGATTCTTCAACATCAACTTTATTGGACTGGTCATGTTGTGCTGATGCCTGATGATCGTCTTCCAAAGCAACTACTCTATTCCGAACTTAAAAATGGAAAGCGTAATGCTGGTGGTCAACAAAAGAGGTTTAAAGACTGCCTCAAGGCAAATCTAAAAAAATGTAGTATAAACACTGACAACTGGGAAACACTGGCCTGCGAGTGCTCCAGTTGGAGAACAGCCTTTACCAAAGGTGTCATGGGCTTTGAAGACACTAGAACTCAGGACGCAAGGGAGAAACGTGCTAGGAGGAAGGCACACTTGGCAAATCCACACCATGATCAACTCCCGCCTGGAAACCAATGTCCCCATGGTGGAAGGATGTGTGGATCCAGAATTGGCCTCCACAGTCACTTTCAGACTTATTGTTAAAACCATGTTTATGGAAAACAATCTTACTTGGCTACAAGTGATCGCCAAAGAAGAAGAAGACAACTAAGAGGACCAATCTGAGCAAAGCGTCAGCCTTTAATGCTCCCCTCTTCTTCTTTCTTCTTATGCAGCTGAAAGGATTTGACCGGAGTTTACTTTCACATTTGAAGAATCCTGAATTGTCATTGTATTTAAAGCAGCAATTCTTTAATTTCTTAACAAGTTTACTTGAAACATCTGGTGCTACAAAGCTGGCTTATTAGAATTCCCATCATTTACTTTAAACCAGAATTGATACTTTGAACATCATGACAAGCCGGGATTCTTTCATAGTAAAACTAAATTATTATTCATCACATAGCACGTAGTTAAAATATGGAAACTCACTCCCACAGGAAGCAATGATGACCACCAACTTAGATGGCTTTAAAAAGAGAACTAGATAAATTCACGGCGGAGAGGGCTGTCAGTGGCCATTAGCCATGATGGCTATGCTCTGCCTCCACAGCTTCTGAAAACCAGTTGCAGGAAACTGCAGGAAGGATGAGGACTCTTGCTTGCAGGTTTCCCAGAAGCCACTGGTTGGTCACTTTGAGAACAGGATGCTGGACTAGATGGGCCATTGGCCTGATCCAGCAGGTTCTTCCTATGTTCTTAAATTTACTTCCTCCCAGCCCCCACTCCACTTTAAGAAATGTTGCTTGTGATCTAACATGGCTGGATTGTAAAAGTTTTCTTTTATAATTATCTGTAACGTCAGTTACAGATGATAAGCAATTTTAACTGGTAATTGAGCACATCTTAGCCACTGAGCTATGTAATTGAAATTCGTGGTTCTTATTTGCTAAGGGTACCAAGACAACTCCTCTGGTGATGTCCTTGCTACTTGTACCCTGGAATGTGTGATCATTTCTGCTTATTCATTCTTCAAAGAAAAGTGTGCATTATGGGGGAAGTCTTTCTGTTTGGGTCTTCATGTTTCTTGTACCAGTCTGGTTTTTTTGTTTTTTAATATAGACTTCAATCATATTTAATGGCTTCGAGTAAAACTATTTGCTCAGCTCACCACCTTCCAAAGTGCTTCCTATCTCCCAGTGAAGTTATCTTTGTTCCTAACATTAACTCTTTAGTAATGAAACTGTTCTTTTAAAAATATTTTTTATTGAAGTAAGTCAAATCAATAGAATAAAAAGAATAGAAGTACAAATAAAAAAAGCGCAGTATAATAAAAAGTTCTAAAATAAATAAATATTAAAATAGATATAAAATTCACAGCGTAAGATAATAAGAGGCTGCACTAAGTTTCTTTTGTGGCTCTGTTGCTAAAGCAATACTGGAAATAGTATGTTTCACATATGCATTTATTCTGTTGTCCTTAGATCTACCAGCAAGGGGCAGAGGAATCCCTCTGTAATTTTTTTCAGTAAAGACACACACACACACACACACACCCTTAATTTCTGTACAAGGTGGAACAAATGAGACACAATGCCTGAGGTCCTTGATAGAATCACTCAAAACTCTATGGATGGTGCTAGAATCCACAAAGTATATGCTCTGTGGAATGTCACGCAGCAAAGACAGAATAGTTACATGGATAAAACCTGAAAATAACTACAACAGATCAAAGGTAACATTGCCAATGGAGCATTGCAGGCAGTAATACAAAAGCAGCTGTCAGTACAAGTCATGTAACATGACTGTTCTTCCTAGGTACCTGTGAAATATCCCCCCCCCCTTTGAATGTTTTGTAACCGTTATAATCTGATAGGATCCTTTGGTAATTCAATAAATGCCCCATACTCTTGACAATCTAGATGGTAATATATGTAACTTCTGTTTAGCACTGTAAACATAGGCATATTAAACATTCTGAGTCCATTTGTCCCCATATAGGGAATATTGGATTCATGATAATCAGGGCAGAAGCCATTACTCCATTAGACTGTGTGATTAACTGATTAATGGCTTACTTCTTAAATTATAGAGAGCTTCATTTCATTAGTGCTGGCCATCTGGGCTCTCACACATCCACTGACAGGAGCTGACCTGATGGCTTCTATTACTGGCAGAATCCCCCATCATTTTCTGCTGATGACTTAATGGATGGTGAGGACCTAAGATACATACTAGGCCAGTAAATGGGGTAGGAATTAAAGGAAAGTGTCTCTGCCAAAAGTTTGTCCTTTCACTTTCTGCTCCTGTTCACTAGTCCTAGCACTTTTAATTTACATGCTGGGTTAGGGAGGTCCCAAGCAGAAGAAACCCTGGACCTCAGAGTAAGGTGGCATCTCCCTACATGTTTGAAAGTTCTTAGCTTTGCAATGTCAGAAGAGCAGAGTTTCCCAGACTTTGTGAAAGATTATGGAAGAAATAATTGTTGGAATACCCTGGGAGTTTCATTTGCCATCAAAGAGCTTAGAGCACTAATTAGTGTTGCTTGCAATAATTCTGTTATATTTATGTAATGCTAACTCTGACTATGGCTGGATTATTTGTGCTTGTGACTAGATCATTGGTATTTTGCATTATTTTTTTAAAACAGTCAATTCTGAAAGCTTTAGACAATTTTGCCCTAACATCTGTGTTCTGTTCACACTACTTAGATGCAGATATTTGTGGCAGATTCTGAACTTCTAGGTCCTAGAATTTATGCCAGTCTCCCTAGCTTTGATTAGGAAGAGTCATAATCAAGCATCTCCTTTAAAAAATATATTAAAAAGTTATCATATGGTGCAGTGTGGACTGAAAGAGCCTGTTCAATGTAATGTCCAGTCCTGCATAAGTTCTGCAGCAGTGAGGACCTTATCAAGATGAGACGTAATGCTTACTGCTCTCTGTGTAGATTGGTTCAACTGTTGAAAGAAGCCACCATTCTGCAAAAAGGGAACTAATAAAAACCAAGACCTTTTGCTTGTGTTAAAATTAAAATACAACAGTTTACTTTTTGTTTGCATCCCTGCATCCTGAAACACTATGTGTGTTGCCACACCTCAAAAAGGATATAGTAGAGATGGAAAAGGTTTTTTGGCCATGGCACATTCTGAGGTGGAGTAGATGATGCATAGAAGGTCAGCAGTGTGAAAAAAATGTGGTGTTGGCTTTGTAAGTTTCCTGGTCTATTCTACACAAGACACTGTTTTTTGCTTCTTGTCCTCTGCTTATAAGACTAATTCGTATTTCAGCTGCTGCCTCACCTGAGCAGCCTGCCTCATTCCTCCGCTAGCTGCAGCCTGGAGGGTTTTTGCAAAGGCAGCAATGAGCACAGATACAATATATTATCATAAATCAACACCTCCTGCCTATATCTAAAGACACAAACAGAACCCTCCCCCTCCTCTTCCCAAAGAGAATGCTAACATTTAGACATTGTGAGTTCTGCAGAAAGATATGCGTTCCTGTAAAATAATTTGAAAAGACAGGATCTCAGATGAGAACTCTTGATGGCAGAAGCCTGCAAGGGAAGAAGTGTTAGGATGGTAGAAAGGGTAAAGTGTAGAAGCGCTTCTGTCGAGAGGATCCCCAGGAGACAACAGGTTCCATGTGACACCTGGTCGCAGC